CTCTACCCCCTTTTAGCTTGAAAGAGCCATCTGTCAAGTTAAAAACAAAATCCTTCTCTATACCTCTGTTATAAGACCTATACAGTCAAAAGTCGTTAATCCGGACACCCATAATCTGGAATAATCTATAATCCGGACCTCAAAGCTACAAACTTTCTGCGCATGCGCCAACGCATGCCCATAATACCTTTATAATCATGCATGCGCATAATACCTTTACGCAAGCGCATATGCGTGTGCGCATAATATGCTTACGCATGCCCGTTTAATGTATAACGGACGTTATAAGCTAAGCTAAAATTATCTAATTATCTATTTCAGTTAATGTTGCAGATTGAGTTGCTCCTTAATCATCGAATTGGATCCGGCTTATTATTTTTTGCAGACTGTTAGAGCAATTTTATAAAAGTAAGCTTGAACTTTCGGTTATGTCAAACAGAATTTCCGATTCTGGAGCTGCCAAAGGATTTATCTACAAAGTGAAAGCATGTTTCAATGTCCATCAAACAAAAAGTGGAATTGCTGCAAAAAATGGATAAAGGCATATCCTTTGTTTTTCTACCCATTTTGAAATCTGTTTATCAATTTCACGCTGCTCTCCGGGGGGGGGGGGGGATTCTTGTTAAGAATTTGGAAGTAAACATTTGGTTTTGGTTTTCTATATGGAAGTCTGCTGGCTCTCATGTGGGAATGTTTTAATTTGCTTTTTTGAACTGCGAGAAGCAAAAGCTTTTCTAAAGAATGAGATTATGACCTGGTTGGAGGAATTAAATTACAAGAATTTAGCCCAAATGTTACTCTATTTGAGTGATATTTTTGCTCATATACAAATTTTGGGGAAATCTAAGGGGAAAATGTAAATATATTGAGAAGGTGTGAGAAGTTAAATGGTTTCAAAGAAAAGTTATAACTTGGTATCACCAAATTTAAAGTTGGTATCTTACTAATCTTCCATCACTTGAAGAATACCAACTCCTTTTTTTACATGATTTTGAAATAACATGTTTCACCAATAAGAACAAATGCACTTTTTTTACACGAATATTTTGTTCAAGCACGAACCCAACCCCAATTTTTTTAAATTCTAATTTTGACAGTGTGTTTATAAGTCGGTCGATTTATGCTCACATACGTGTTAATGACTTGGTCTACTTCCTTAAAGAATTTGAAATGTTACGAATGACAGCTTCAAGAAAGCAGGAGTGGCTCCACTAGACCAAACAAAGTCATCCAACTAGCCTTACAATACATGCGCGAAATAGCTGTCGATCAGGTGACAAAGGTTGAAGATCATGTTCATCGAGTTCAGACTTCTGATACCATTCCCCTCCCCATCGATTTCACGTAAATTAAATCACTGATCAAACTGTAATATGGCTCAATCAACAGCAAATAAATGAAAAACTTCACCGAATTGCTCATCACTTCCTAAGCAAGCTTCAATCCGAGTTAAATATCGCGAAAATTTTTCAATGAACAAATCCTATTACTTCTTTGGCTTCATATCATATTTTCCTCAATTTATTGTATATTTGGCAAAAAGAATTTATCCCTCCTCGGTATAGTGGCACCGTAGTGAAACTGGCTTATAATGTGTCTATGGACACTTTCCTTCTCTAGATACAGGTTCTTTGACTTCATGGCTTGTTTACTTTGTATTCCCGTGGTTACAGACAAGAGCAAAATTTTTATTATCACTTTTGTCTTGATCTTGCTGCACTTCAACTTGAACACAGCATTTCATTATTCAGTGTTAGTCTTCAGTTTATAGGATGCAATGATGCTATAAGCTTTAAGAGGTAAGACATTAAACAACTTCTGGTTCATATGATGCTGAATTAAAAGGCATAGATGACAGTTGAACTGTTTACAAAATGGTTCAACAACGGTTTTGTTGCTGAGGTCCAGAAATATATGGAACAAAAAGGTTTGGAATTCAAAATACTTTTGTTCATTGGTAATGCAGCCAGCCACTCAGTGTTGGACCATCCAAATATACAAATGCTGTTTTTGTCATCTAATAGCACTCGCCGATTCAGCCACTCGATCAGGGTGTTATAGAAGCATTTAAAATGTACTACATAATTTTACATTTAAATATATTTTAGATTCAGTGGAAGAAAGAAATTTGACTGTTGTAGAAGCATGGAGGAAGTTAACGATTATGGACTGTACTACACATGCTTCTTTTGCCATCAAATAGTTGCACCAGTCAACCTCCAAAGCTTGTTGGAAAAAAATTTCCCAGCTGGTATCAAAAGTGGAAGTTTTATAGTACAAAAATCAGCTGTGCATTCTGAAATAACTCTATCAAATGCATTTGGTGGCAAGGGTTTTAACAACATGTAAACAACTGACATCGAAGAATTGATGCGAGAAAGCCCTTTTGGATGATTTGATCAAATTTATGATAATAAAGAAGTCAATAATGATGAAGTCAAAGAGAAGTTCAGCTATTAATGACTGATTTAATTTGCGGCTGCCTGAAATTTGCTACAAGTAAGGAATAACAATTTCTTACTCATGATTCTGACATGGAGCATACATTAAAATTTCAATGTAATTTTAAGTTTTGTGTAGCTGGATACCATGACTTATATAAGCAGCATGAGAAACCAACAAAACAGTTGCTAATAACAGAATTGGCAAAGGGGGACATCTGTCCCTGGGCGCAGCATCCAGGCGTCGCTAAATTGATGCTACGAAATTTAATGAAATGTTTTCCATTCTTGGCACACAGAAAGGGGCACAAATTCTTCAGTTGTCCCCGGATGCTGGAATCCTAGCTACGCGACTGACAGTTGTGCTAGACATATCTACTGTCTATAGCATTTTTGAATCAGTTTGTAATAAAAGTACACACTTGTTATCAAGTAGTGATGAACAGTTGCAAAATTGATTTTTATTCCTTATTTCAATTTAACTGTTTATATATACTTATGGACTGAATTTTCAATGTACACCAATTTAAATTTTTAAAATTATAATAAAAGTGAATTATTTTTGTTTTGTAATATGGCATTTATTATAATTTTTTTTTTTTTTTTTTTTTTTGCATGGTTTTTGAGAAAATATTTAGTGTGTTTTCATCTTGCGCAATTTTTTAAAGTTGTGGAACATTTCCCGAAGTTAATCATATGTTGCATGTACTTTTTTTTACACAGTTTTCTAAACGTATCTACCACGTAAAAAAAAAAAAAAAAAAAAAAAAAAAAAAAAAAAGATAGATGTAGTTGATAAAAATAAGTCTCTAATTCCAAGCGTATGTGAAAAAAATTTGGAAACATTATCAATTTCAGAAACGGATATGAACCCACATCAATTAAATTTGGATAATATGTAAGATGATGGTGAACTGAAGATCTTACAGAACTGCACACAAATCATGTTCTTAAAATGCAGTTTGAAAGCAACACTTTGGAACAATACTGGTGTTCAACAATGAATATCTTCTCAAAACTTATTGAAAAGGCAAACTGTGCTCATGCCATTTGCAATGACATACTTCAAGAGTGACTGCGATCATTATTTTTTAAATGTTTTAATACATTAAAACATTTAAAAAATTTTGAAAAGTACAGTGGAATAAAAATTCTATATAATTAAAAATAATTCAGAGCATTAACATGAAATGTAGACCTACATTCATATACATATATTTACAACATTTTTTAAGAGTTAAGCAAGAATTATATTTTTTTATAAATTGATTAAACGTCAATTTATGCTTCATTATATCATTTCCTACAGTTGCCTATCCTTTTGGTATCTTGGCATTAAAAAAAAATTGTAAAATTTAGCTTTATTTTTTGAGAGGAGAGGAAAGCTTTAATTTCTGGGAATTGGCTGTATTTATATTTTTCTTTGCTGAATTTAAGTATGAACAGAAAGATTTTCATAAAGGACTGGCTTTTCACTCAACACTTTAAGTACTAGATTAGAACTTAAAATTTGCATACTACCAGATATGGGATACGAACTAGATACTCCCATATCTAGTTCATGGAATGTTGAGAACAGTGGTTAAGTTGTCTGATTATTCAACAAATTATTTCTCATAACTTTATCAGAAAAATCTTTAGAAAAGTTTTCTGCTGTTTAAGCATTTTGTAATATACTGAGAAGAAATAATATTTCACAGTCTATGTAATACCTAGGCTATCAAGAACATTCTATCTTTTGTTATATAACACAAGCAGTATAAATAAATGAGCTTTAAACAAAAGGTCTACATAATTAGATTTCATTAGTTTTGTTAATATTGGGTATTTCTGTATTCCACCTCCTTATAGTTACAATATTTCAGCTAAAATTTCATAATATCAATCTTTTTGTTTCTGTGCAATACAGACAGCTAAATTAACTTTTCTGCAAAAGACAAAATTCTTATCTGAACAAACTCAGTATACTCATAAAATTTTTACGTCTCACTGTGCTACATGGCCTATGAACAGTCTTAATACAGTTTATAGCCTAAAAATTTAAATTTTTATAATATCTGAATAATATCTTTGTTTTAAAATTAAATTTGAAAAGGATAATGAGTCTATATTTCATAATATTGGAAATTCCAGATTTGAAAATGTAAAAAAAAATCTGAATTCTGGCTATATTCGGACCACAATCACCTGATACTTATGCAAGTATCAGGTGAAAATATTTAGCTGAAAATATTTAGCTTATGCAAGCCTGCAATTAGTACCTTTTTATCAATCAAAATGAAATTGCTTGGATACACAAGTAGATATACATTACCATTAGCAACAAAGTGGTCAAGATTTGAACAATTCTTATCCAATAAACAGAACCAAAAATGTCATTAAAGACTCAAAATTCAAAACCAAATGTGATGAAAAATTTAGGAAGTAGCAGCTTTGCCTACAGTATTTAATAAATTAATAATCTATTTACCAAAGGATGTTGAAAATTAGATACATTAAACATGTTAAAACTTAAAGTTTTCATAAAATCTACTGTTAATAAAATTAGAAATACAATACCTCAAGCCAAGCTCGAATCCCATTAATATTCCAAGAAGATATTTTGAGATTCCAAAGCTTTCCAGATGGAGATTTGGAAGAATTGCTGAAGTCTAATACTGAAACATCTGCAATCTTCTCTTTTTTAGCAATTTTGGCCTTAGGTGCCTCTTCAAAATCATCATCACTAGCTTCTTTACCTTTAGCTCCTCTGGTAGATTTATTTCCAGCTTTCTTCGGAATGCTAGTAGTTTTTCCTTTGGCTTTTCTTCCTTTAGGTTTTTCAGACATATCAGACTCCAGTTCTTCAGCTGGAAGTTTCTCCTGCTGCTTATTCTTTTTTACTGTTGATATTTCTGTTTCACCAGCATTATCTTCAACCAATTTCTCAGATTCTGAATTCTTCCTTTTTCTAGAACTCTTTGGTCCTGAAGCAGGCTTTTTGGAATCACTAATTTTTTCATTACTCTCTTTGATTTCTTGAACATTCTTAGGTGGAATTTTTCTCCTCCCTTTGGGATTGGGATTATTCCCTTCCTCTACATTTTGCAATTTTACTTTTCCACGTTTAACATCACTTTTTTCTTCCTGGGACTCTTCTTCCTTTAATTCATCTTCAATAGCATTTGTTTCTTCTGTAGGATTTTTAGTTTCACATTCAATCATATTATTTTTGTCTTCACTTTTGATTTTTTTGTTGTTATTTTTGATAGCCATTTTCCTCCCTCTTCCTGTTTGCTTCTTAGGTTCTGCATTTTCTTCATCTAATTCGACAGCATTTTCCTCAGTAATATTTTCTTGTTTACCATTAGGAACTTCTTTCCCAGTCTTCTTGCGTCCTTTAGTAGATGTTTCCTTAACATGCAGTTTTTTCTCGGGAACTTCATCTTCCTCAGTGGCATTATTCTGTGGTATTCTTTTGCCACCCTTCTTTGGTTTTTTAAGCAATGCCATTTTCTTTTCCAAATTATCTTCTACAGTTTCCCTTTCAGAATCATTTACTTCAACGGCAGATTTAACAGTTGCTGACCTTTTAACAGCATTAGCAGGCTGAAAATATTTAGCTTAAATAAGTACATGTATATTATGATATAGAATCATGTGGGGAAAAAAATTAAAAAAGAGTATATGTAACACTGTACTAACTGCTTAGGATATAAAGATTACACAATTTATGCTATCAAAAATTAAACATCCAGATAATTGGATATTGTCTTCCCCCCCCCTTCTATATGCCAAATATATATATATTTATTGTATTGCTGGTGAAGGAACTTATATTTTTACGTATTGTATTTTATTTCAATACAGATTACACAGTGAAAAAATTAGATTTTTTTATCTAAAGTACATACCGGAAACATCTGCTATTAGTTACTTAAGGATGCAAATGATCCTGAAAGTTATCAGTTAAGTATATTATAAATTATGTCAAATATCTTTGGCTAATTTATTTATCAATCACAGTTACAATTTGAAAAATAAAAATCTTAAGCCATACCATGTAAACCCTTCAGCTGCTGCAAAATTAAGCAATTCTATCTTCCCAAACACATGTGATATGTATCAATGGTAAATTTGTAATGAGAGTATATTTATTTGTGTAATTCTGGTGTGTAACTGGAATGGGAGGTGAGCTCGTTGATGGCCATCAAAAGGTTAAATGGCAACAACTATTTATCAAGCCAAAATATTTCTATTAAAGCAGTTCCAGGCTATATGGATGACAAGAGCCATAGTAGCAAAATGCAAAACATAACATAATGTTATGCAACAGCTCCAAAAATTGGAGACACTTTTTAAAATACACATATATTTTCAATGTGAAAATTTTTGTTTCTGTAAAACCCAACATAAAACACACTTTGACAAAATCAAAAATGAAATTATTTTTTTAGTAGCCTTTTTGCTGAAACTAAAATAAAACTGTGACATTTTGTATTTATATAAGTCATTAAACTAGATATATTTTTTTATTTTTACTGCATTCAAATTTAATACGAAATTATTATTATCAGCCCAAAAGGGACATTAGTCCTGAATGGGATATTAGTCTCGAAATGACATCTTGCACTGAATCGCACTAAACGGCACATCACTTTTTAAACTGTTGCCACCAAATATTATTGCTCTGTATTATATTTAAAGAAACTAAATCTGCATGAAAATATGTACGTTTTCTGCACTGTGAATAAACAATGCTACAACAAACTACATCCATTAAATTCTGAATACCATGGTCCTCCACCCGAACATGTGCACCTGGAAGCCCGAGTTTCGAATTTGCTTTATTGTTTACTCCATATTTTGAAAAAAATTAAGCGTGTTGTTGTTGATGCTTATCCTCGAAAGATCTGACATATGTCAGATTACTTCCAAAAGGTTGTTGACCGTAAAAAAAATCGATAACGGTGAGGGGATCAGATGTTAAGTCCTCCTTTGAAAATCCGATACAGCCCAGTATGTGATCAGGTGAAGCTGGATGGCCACAACATTTTTTACAAGCGGGGTGGATTTTTCTGCCATTATCAAAGGAAAGACTTTTAAGGCAGCCACTTGTTAGTCTAGTCAGAGCAGTCTGGGAGCCATGGTCACATTTCATTTCTAGTAGGGAGCCAGGGGATGTTCCTGTGAACCATTACTGCATAGGTGGAATACAGCATATAATATTAGTTTTAGATCTTTTATTTGAGTAAAGTTCTTGGTAAGTAAGTGAGGAGCCAATGACTGTTTCATTTTCATTACCCTCTTTTGCCAGTTTATCAGCAACCTCATTACCACTAATATTAGCATGTGAAGGGATCCACTGGAGGTGGATGTTGTGGGTCAGAGATTTTCCTCAGTTTGAGCAGAATAGATATGCTGGTTTCATCGCATGCAGACAACCAATCGCTAAGATGTTGAAGTGCACTGAGGCTGTCTGATAAAATCCATAGTTCCCCAAAATCACAATCATAAGCCAAGATAGCATCAAGCCCCACTTTAATCACAATTAACTCGCTCCTGAAGACAGAGCAAGTGTCAAGATTGTATTGCTTTATTGCAGTTTCAAAGTGAGGGGTCTTAATAAAGATACTGCTGCCAGTATGATCTTCTGTACGACTACCATCAATATAGACTTACACTGCATCTTTAGAAATGCAACTAATAATTTCCACAGCCAGTTGCCTAAGAAGGTTTTCATGGTGAGTTTGCTTGCTTGCAGTGGATTTCAGATCAAAGCGGAAGAAAACTCTCGGTAGTCCCACTTTTTAAAAAGAATAAACACACTTGTGATTAACAAACTCAACAATTTTCATTCAACAATGGCAATACTGTACAGAAAAAAAAAAAAAAAAAACGGACAGTCTGAAAATAAGTTCTCCTTGTAAATGTGGGCAGATGTATACAAAAGATAAAAAATATAATGAGACATTAAAGATAAGTCATAATTTTATTTTTCCACATAATTACCAAGTATGTTGAGACCTTTGTCATACTGCTTTATAAGCTTCAAAAAGCCCTTCTGGAAAAAATCAGGGCTCCGCATACAGAAGAATGCCTTGTGTGACTTCAGCACTGCTTACAAAGTGCCTTTCGCCGAGATTCTTCTTCAAAGCTGTAAACAGATGAAAGTCACTGGATGAAAGATCAGGACTGTATGGCGGGATGGTCACGCTGCTCCAAACCAAGAGTTTCAATATGGTTTTGTGTTGTCGTCACCAAGTGTGGTCTTGTATTGTCATTCAACAACAGAAGGCCAGGCTGCTTTTTTTGAATAGCCTCCTTCAATTTCGACAAGGTGTGTCAGTGCCACATAGCATTGATGGTTCCAACCTCCAAACAACTGAGCAACAACTCCTTGAGCATCCCAGAAAGCTGTGAGGAGCACTTTTAACTGCAGAGGAAGTTGTTTTGAACTTTTTTGGGACAGGTGATAACGGATGTTTCCACTTCATAGATGTGGCCTTCAGTTCGGGGGTGAAATGGTGGACCCACGTTACATCCTCCGTCGCATTCTGAAACAGAAATTCATTGCCATGACAATGATAATGCATGAATACTATGCAATGTTTCATGTGGTTCGGAGTCAGTTGTCAGGGCACCCATTGTGCTGACACTTTCCGGTATCAAAGAACATCATGGATAATCTTGTGAGCTCACGCATGTTAGATTCCAATTTTTTCCACTAATTCATCGATGATGATACAACGGTTTGCTTTAGTCATGACATCCATCATCTGTAGCTGCTGCACACATCCCTCCAGCCCTTGCTGACGTTCCTCACAGAATTCGTGGCACCATTTGCTTCGACATCACATCTGGCCCATACACTTCCGCTAGACAGTTATGGATTTCTGCTCCTGATACTCAATGTACCCATTCATAGCACACAACCACCCAATCCCCATATGGTGATTTGTTTTAGTAGCAGAAATTTGGTAACTTTAATTAGTTCGCAAAAATGGTTACTTTTTTATATTGTTGATTAAATCTTTCTTAAGCTTTTGCATGAGTTGTTGCATAGTAGTTGTTAAATGAGTTAGCTGGAGAGTATTATTTGTGAGAAGTAAAATTTTTGTGAGTTTCAAGATTTCAAAATGCTGTGTGTCATATTATTATGTACATCATTTCCAACTCCTGTGTACTGCTGTATTCTCTAATGGATTTATAATATATTTATTAACTATTTACTGTAAGTGTGAATTTTATTTTTCGGTGAGGGTTACTTGAATGTCGATCCCCATTTGAGGCTCATGGCAGATTCCACCTATATTCCAATTTTCAGTCTCTATGTCAATCCAGACATGCAGAAATAAGTGTAAATTGAGAGAAATATACTTGGCAGTTAATGGGTTAAAAAAACAGTGACTCTTTTTAGAAGAGCTATTCAGAACTTATTAGTTAATTATGAGCAAGCACGAAATATAGTTTTAAAACTTGTGAAAATTTAAATGCTTTAAAAGAGCACTCAATCTGATTAGCAATCTCAAAATGAGCTTAATATAGATTAGATTTCAAATGTATATCTAAATTAGTCTAAATCAGGGGTTCCCAACCTTTTTGTCCCTAAGAGCACATTCTAGAATATCTTTTGATCGGCTGGCACCATTTACTTTTTCAAGGTGAATTTATAGTTGGATAGAGTTAACCCGCGGGAAGGTGTGTGGGGTGTGTCATACCCCACCCCTACATAAAAGTGGAATATTCCTAACTTGTGAAACTGAAATTCTGTGTTGCATTCAGTAGCTGAGTTTCTAGTGTGGTTGACTTTCAGAACAGCTTTTTCTTTGCCTGTGTGTTTCAGAAACAGATTTATCGGTATTTTGTAGGAACTGGAGTAATACACACCCCCCCACGCTTGTCCACGTAAGTGTTTTTCTGACCGAATATTTAGTTCAGAAATTTATTTCTGGAGTGTGACAGTAAATATTTCTACTCGCAAGTCATTTTAAAGTACTTAACCTTAAATTCTTGAAAATTTCTAACCACATTATTAAAAAGAATGACTCCCTATGAATTGCAGATGCAACGCCTGTGATATTTATTAGAAATATTTGAAAGCGATGAAGATTGCATTTCGGAAACTGAAGATGAAACTAAAAATATTTTCTACACTGTTTTCGTATAGAAAAAAATAAAACATTAATTTCTAATGTTCCTAAAAAAGGAAAAATTGTTCTTATGCTTTCAACATTACGTAACGACCATACTATAGATGATACTATTGGAGAAAATAAAACGTCAGGAATTATATATTTTTATAATATGACTAAAGGAGCAGTGGATATGGAGTCAGCCAATTAGGTGGCCAATGATAATTTTTTTCCTGCACTGAATGTTGCTGTAATAAATGCTTGAATTATATTACATTCAACTACTAATTCACCAACCAGAAACAGAAGTCTGTTTTTGAAGAACTTAGCATTACAATTAATGAAAACAAGTATTGAACAAAGATCAGAGATTAATACTTTACCAAGAAACTGACGTACTGCATACAAAACAAAAGCAGATGTTTCGATGAAGAATTAAAACGAATACATGAAATTTGAAACCACTAAGTATGAAAGATGTGACAAATTGCCCTCGTGCCAAGGACAGAAGAACGTGAATGCAATGTTTAAAATATGAAAACATTCTGTGCCAAGAACACATGAATGTATTTCATTCAAAGTGTGAAGAAATAAAATAAGCATTGTTTATTAGAGATGCAATGAAACTTAGAGGCATGATGTTTATTTTTTAATTATTTTCATTTATCTTAATTTTAAGTCTAAGATTATTTTGGAAATTAATTTTTTGAAACCCAATTATTATTCACGTATATATAATACACGAGAACAAGAAAAACCGCTTAAAACTAAATAAAACTATTTTTAACGTATTTTAAATATTGGGGTATGTGATACCCCACGCGCCCACTCTAGTAACTTTTCTTGGTGCTACTTCCGCCAGGTTAATAGTACATGCACATAAAAAACAGGGTAGTGGAGTCGGAATTGGAGTTAGGCAGATTTTTGGGTAAAAGGAGTTGGAGCTGGAGTCGCTAAAAACAGGTTGACTCCAAATCCAGTTTTTATTTAAAGTGAAAAATGATACGGGAGGAGGATGGATGTGATATTTGCCATTATTAATTAAACTGATTTATTAGTTACTTCATTTAGTTACAAATCTCGTTGGTAAATTTAGGTATGCAGCAATAGTAGCAAGAACTCCCAAAACTGATGCCATTCTTAGGAAGCTAGCAGGAAAAGGAGCAATTATTGATCAAGCAACATGATGGAGAAGTACATAATTGATGAAATAGTTGCTAGAACGTTAAGAAAATTTTTAGGAGATGTAGATAACCCTAATGTTTCACCAAGAGAAAGACTGTGGAATTATCTTTCAGAATTTGAAACTCTTCTTTCTACACTATATATAGCCACACACACACACACAAAAACAAAAACAAAAAAAAAAAAAAAAAAAAAAGCTATAATCTGAAGAATTAACAGAAGGCGAGAATGGAAGAATGTATGTTTATTGCAGAAGGAATCATTTCTTCAATGAAGAAAAGAGAAACTAGTTTGCTAGACAATGAGATCTTGCTGGGTTCAATATATGTAGATCCAAAACACCGAATTTTGTTAGATGACGAACTGAAATTAAAAAGGCAAAAAAAGCTATCTATGAACTTTCATTAAGAATGAACTTATTCTCAGAACGATTGAAGGAATGAAATCAGGAAGTCAAACTGCAGACATTGCAACTGAGTCTCTGTCATCCTCTTATAATGATGAATTACATTTTGAGAAGGATTTGGATAATATTGAAAAGTCTAAGGTAAAGAAAGCGAATGAAATTAAAGAACCAAGAGCCTTTAGATATAAAAACAAAAAATTACAAGCAATATTTCTACACGGCCTTTGAAGAAATACGATTGCTCTCGCAAGACACCTTTTTTAGAACTTATAAAAATCTGTCCTGAACCAGCTCTTTTCTCCTACTCAAGTCAGTGTGTGGAAAGACCCTTCTCAGCTTGGAAGTTTTATATAATTGGATCTATGGTACTCTAACAAAGAAGATCTTGCCTAAGTATACCGTTTCTTAGAAATAACTAATGCCAGTTTTTCCATTCCATAATAAATGCTAATTAATATAAATAATTTGCTATGCCCTCATTTTTTTTTTGTATCATCTATTACTTCTTTTATATAACAAAATAAGCTGCAACCTATGAGCATATGTTTACATATATATGAGGGAGTTAGAGTCTTTAAAATTCCAGAGTCTGTCATTTTCCCTACCAACTCCACAGCTCTAGTATATACACATAAAGCATCTAAAGCTGGCCTTAGAAATACAGAGGCTATTCACACACTTTTTAGATGCTTTCCATTGTAATTACAGAAATTTTTATGTTTTAAATGTTCGGTTTAAACCTTTATTCTTAACTTCATTAACAAAATAAGCTATACCCATGGGAATAAGTTTACATATATATGAGGGAGTCGGAGTCGTAAAATTTCACGAGTTGGTCATTTTATTTACCGACTCCACAGCCCTGGATTGGTTGCATTTCGCTTTGTGCTGGTATCTGTATTGGACGCAATTTCTATTCGATTAAAAATAAAAAAACGTTCACATAGAACTTTATTGAGACATTTTTATTGTGATCGTACAGTGGCAGGCACACGTTAAACCATCAGCGGATGCCTGCGGGCACAGGGTTGGAGACCCCTGGCTTAAATAGTTAGTTTGGATTTCAAACTAACAGCAGAGGGCAGGAACACTAAGAAAACATATAATTCAAAGAAAACCTTTTCAGTTTCAATTCCAGAGATTAGAAATTTTCATACACTTTTCAGAAATTGAGAGTTCAGCTGCTTTTTTGCATTGCTTCATAGAAAAGTATTCAACAATAGTTTTATACAAAACAATGCACTATTTAAATTTTTAGTAAATTTAATTAAATAATTTTAACACTTTTATATGAAGCAGTGTTTGTTTATAAGCTTAACAACAAATTTCTTTTGTTTAAGAAGTAATTTCGGTTTCATTTCTGCAAGATTTTTATAGTCACTGATTTTTGTTATTATTATGAACAACTATGTAAAACAAAATCTGACATAGCCATTCATGACTTGTGCCTAATTAAATTAACAAAATTACAGCATAATTTTATTGAACAATACTCATTTATGATGCCTCTGATAGTACTTTCATGGTAAGTCCAAATTTTAGATGTAAATTATATTGCATATATATCTTGCTGTCTAAGTATAAAAGAAAAACTAGCTGATTCAAATTATTACACCATAAAGGTAGTGAAGAATTACTTCAAACTAAGTAAAAGCCAATGGTAGCTGATAGTTTTAACTCATAAAATTACATATAGTATGTGACAGTGACTGTTAATGATATAACTGCTATATAGCATTTGCATACAATCAAGACTTTAGGTTTATGCTCAGTGTTGTGTTAACAAGGGGCCCTGGGCAAATCAGTGTGCTGGAGTCCCTATGACAATAACTCACAGCAGTGGCATAGCTAGGGTGGGGAAATGGGGTGGCGTGCCCGGGGACATCTGTTCCCGGGCACGCCAAATTGATGGCATGAAATTTTAGAATGAAGTGTTTTCCATTCATGGCACACAGAAAGGGGTGCAAAATCTTCAGTTGTCCCTGGGCACTGAAAACCCTAGCTACACCTCTGACTCACAGAAATTAAATGTATATAAATGAATTAGCATAGGACTCCTATGGTTCAGGGCTCCCCAGGCAAATGCCCAGCAGGCCCACGTGTTACGACGACCTTGTTAGTGCCCATTTATCTGAAGATTATGTAACTTCAAAAGACTGAGGAGGTACTTCTGAGAGATGATTCATATTCGAATTACATATGGGAGGAGAATTTCAAATAAAAAAAATTTCGGATGCTTAAAGTATTAAATTTTCTCATTAACATATCATACATAGATGTCCTTTTTGCTATAATATTTAGTTTTCATTCAGCAATAATTCTTTTTATCCCAATAATCACATACACAATTTGATACAAATAATGATCTTGACAACTCATTATTTCTGCATGCAAGTTTAAAGACTTCCATTATCCCTAAACTCTTTTTGTAGCATTTCTACGTTTACTTCTCCTATTCATTAGCACAAGCAAATAAACTTCATAAAGATTTAATGCCAAAATAACTAGTATTTAAATCAGATTTTTGACACACTTATTCTACTTATGAAGTTTTGTTCCTGTAAAGCACCATTTTATCAGCTAAAATTTCAAATGTAGTGTTGAATAATCAATGAAACAAAAACAAAATCTAATTTTGATAAATTTTTAAATAAATTTTAAGCAAGTAAAATGATGTGGAAATAAAACTCTTTTTGTCACAAGAGGTAAGGAAAATGAAATCACCAAGTGATTAAAAAATATGAATTAAATAATTTGGATCTATAATTGAATCACACAATAAAAAACGAAATAATTCCAGCTCTTAATTTATATAACAAGAAATGGTAACTTGCACACTTCAACAACAGTCACACTTGCATCTCAACCAGTGTCATTTTTGCATAGCACAGATACTGGAATGAATCAACTTCGTAGCACAAAACCACAAATTATGCTAAATGAATACTTATTGATCTAGAATACTAATTTTTAAAAATTTTTAACGGCACAGCGAGTTATTTATTACCACTTTTATATCAGATTATAAACTATAACAGAAAATCTACTGTATGAAATACAAGGGGGGATAAAGTCTCAAAAATGAAACAAACTAACCGATTTACGCGGCATTGTTTTCAAAACTTGAAGTTTTATAACTATGAAATTAAAAACGAGCAAAGTTTCTGCGGTTTTAACCGTGCAAATACGCTGTACGTTACTGGACGATTCCAAACGAATCTTGCTGAATGATTTGAAATATATCACAATCCTATTGGACGAGCGCTACATGTTTCAGCCATTTTTTTGCTTTTGGAGGGAAAATGTAGTCTTTTTATTGGATAGAAGATAGCTTAGTTTTGTAGCCATCTGGAAATGGTAGCTTTTGTGTAAACAAATTCTTGATTTTTTCCATATGATTCTACCTTGAATAATCAAGACAGCAACTTTCCACCTCTCGACAAAGAAATGGATTCTCAGGACCTGAAAATACTAAGAACTCCAAGTTATCTGAAACTTCAACCACAAGTTCCACTTTTTCAGAATTATTTAACTTGGGTTCATTAAAAACAATATGGACAATTATTAGAGCAGGCCTCAAAACTATGAAGAAGCCAACCTCGCCATATAGGCAAAATAGGTGCAATTGGTGGACATTTCTTTAACATGCCAAGCAGTATTAATCTGAGAAACAAAAATTTTTTCATGAAATGCTAATTGTCTATTTAACAAAAAAGACGAATTTGGAGATCTTCTGGAACTCGAACCTGACGTAATTCTTATACAGGAAACGCATTTGAAACCTGCTGTGACGCAAACTATTCTACTTACTATGCGGATTGAGAAACCGGATGCGGAGGTAGAATCATCACTTTTGTTAAAAGGAGCATTCAGCATCAACTCAAACAAAATTTTTCTACCTCTTTTGAAAGCAACATTATCGAAATTTAATTTGAGCACAAGAAATTCATCATCTCTAATATCTATATACCTCCTAATAATAGTCTCATTATTTCTGAAACTGAACAACTACTGGATTTTAACTCACCTGCTTTAATTGGAGAGGATTTCAACGCTAAGCATCGATGCTGGAATCAAGGAACTCGCAGTAGAAAAAGACGAGAAATTTTTAGCACGATTCAAATAAAAATTATACCATTCATGCCACTGATAAACCTATGCATTACGTCTATAATAGCTTTTATATTATTGACGTTTTTGTATCAAACAACATCGACTATAATTAAAAAATTTCTGTTACTCCAGTTCTCTCATCTGACCCCATCTTTCTTGAAATCAGCATAAATACTGGGCACTTACCTTCACTTGGTAAGAGTATTGGCGTTACAGACTGGAAAAAATCACAAAAATAATTTCAGATACCCTTCCTGGAAAGAAAAAAAAAAAAAAAAAAATCAAGTGCAAAAATCGTATTAGAAAAACTGGCAAAATACAAGAGACCCAAGGCTCAAAAAGCATCTGAACGCTGTTCAACGTGACATTAAGAAGAACATTAGTAACTTCAAGACGCAAAGCTGGCGAAACTTCCTAAACTTTCTGTCAACAGAAGGTGCATCGAAAAGAACTCTTTTTTGACACTGCAAAGGAATTTAAGAAACCCTTCAAGCAAATTCCGCCATTTCATGGTACCAACGGAATGGTTTATTCTGACGAAGATAAAGCTGACACCTTTGCAGATATACTAGAAGAAACGTTTACTCCCAATACTACCCCTTACGATAACAATCATATTTCCAAAGTTAATGATACTGTTAATACCTTCATAAAAATTCCACGTCCTTTGAACTTTACATTCCTCGCCACGCCTAAGCTGGTTGCTGATTATATTAGCTCCTTAAAACCCAAAAAAGCTCCAGGTGTTGATGGTATTTCCACCAAAGCGCTGAAACATCTTCCTATCAATGCTATCACTTGTCTTACGAAGAACGACGAACGTCTTTACGAACTCTATCATAAAGTTCTCTTACTTTCCTAATACACGGAAGCATGCCATCATCGTTGTCTTCTCAAAACCGCATAAAAATTCAAAGTTTCCACAGAACTGCCGACCAATTAGCCTTCTAAGTTATCTTTCTAAAATAGCTGAAAAAATTATCCTATATCATCTCAATCAAATTATTCCACAAGAACAGCTTGGCTTTCGTCATCTTCATACTACTAATTACCAGCTGCTTCGTGTCATCAACTATATTACTAACGATTTCAATTATAAGGTCCCTATCGGAGCCATTTTCCTTGACATTGCGAAAGCTTTCGATAGGGATTTGTGTGCACCGGGAACTTGTATACAAACTTATCAAGTTGAAATATCTCCGACCATTATATTAGACTTATTGCTTCCTATCTCCAACAAAGAATCTTTGCTGTGAAAAATGGTAATACTGTTTCTACCATGAGAAACATTTTCGCTGGAGTGCCCCAAGGATCAGTACTTTCACCATATTTATATAACATTTACACTTACGATATTCCTAGAAACCCACAAGTTACCATTGTTCTTTTTGCAGGTGATACTGCAATTATGACATAAGTTTCTACAGTTACAGTTGTCCAGCTCCTTCTTCAAGATTACCTCAAACATCTAAAACAGCGGTTCTCAACTTTTCGACTAATGCGTACCATATAAATAAAAATGAAAAACTTAAGTACCACCGCTACATTTTACAATGATTATTTTTCAATTTCCCAATAGAAATATTGAAAATAAATATATTTGCACAACCTATTGGCTATTTGTATTAAATATGCATACATAAAAAATATATCAGACTAAAAATGGGTTACCATTTTTATTATCAAACTTTATGTTATAATACTTTAATTCTAAAATTTGGCGCGAAATTTGGCCTGTTTAAGAGAGACAAATTTCTCTTTGTGTCTGGTCTTATTTCACTTAACTTAGTTTTAACCGCAAATTAGGATCATTTTCTTCTGCATTTAATTTTTAAATATAACATGGAAGAAAATCCTTGTTCACACAAATAGGTTGTGCAAAGAGGCAATAGAAACTTAATAGCTTTATTTGAAATGCCTTTAAAGTTATTTTTTGGTTCAGCCAAAAGTTAACAAGTGTATTATTTTTGAAATCTTCAGTTAGAGTTCGATCACAGAACTATCAATTTTTTTTTCTTCATGAGATTTCTGAATTTAATAATTAAAAATACTTTTTTTACCAGCAGTGGTACGCGTACCACCAGTTTAGAATCCCTGATCTATGAAATTGGCCCACTTTTTGGAGGATTGCAGTTAACACTGAAAAATCAAAAGCAATAATTTTTCGTAAAGGACAAAGAAATTTTACACAACCATGATATCTTCTGTTTGATGAAGAAATTGACTGGGTTGGCAAAAGCAAATATCTAGGAGTCATTCTAGATAAAAAATTGACTTTTCAGAAACATTTCAGGGAAACTGTGAAAAAAATTCATAATTCGCCCATTTCTTGGCAGAAAAAGTCATATGGACGCTTCTAATAAACTCCTTTTTTATAAATCTATACTTCGACCAGCATTACTCTATGCTAGTCTTGTCTGGGGTCATGCTGCCAACACATCCAAGTTCTTCAAAACAAAGCCTTTAGAGAAATTATCAACGCGCCATGGTTCATTCCAAATTCGTATATCCACCGTGACCTCAAAGTAGACACAATTCAAAATTATAGTCAAAAACTTGCCAGAAATTTCTTCAGTTCAATTCTCACTCATCCTAACAATGCATCAAATCTCTTAGATATTCTACTTTTCTCAGAGAAAAACACAAATATCCATCTGACATTCTCCATCCTTAACATTTTTTACTCATACTTGACTCTTCAGTTCACTGATTTGGATCTTTCTCCAGAAACTCACTTTATTCGTCGACTGATGGCGTCCACTTGACTTACTTTAATCTCATTTTCCCATACTACTCATTTTGGTTTACCGATGGTCTTCACTAGATACAGTGTAAAAGAAAGCACTGCTTTCTGAAACTCTGATTCACTATATGTTCTTAGTAGTAGTAAAATTTTGCCAAAGAATGTTCCATAAAAAGTGAGAGATAAAAAACATATTTCATTTTCTTTCTGAAAAGAAGCGTTAGATGTGAGCAAGAATTTGTCAGAGTTTATTGCATTCTTTCATCAATAAGAAAATCTTTTAAACTTTTTAAACAAAGGTTATTTGAAATTATTCTGGAGAACAAAACTACAGAGATTTAATTAGGAATACATGTGGACTAATAGCATAAGTTTCATTTCCAAATATATTACTGTGCGCTTACGGGTTCGTAATAGATTGGGTGAATCACAGAACTGACGATAGCTTGATAAAATTTATTTTGCCGAAAGGAAATTCTGGAACTTTCCACAAGAATGCTCGTACAACTCTTCTCATAGTATAATCAGTATTTACACCTCAAACTACTAAGAAATTAAACACACTGTAATGCAAAGTACATCTAAAAGGCGAAGCTCACACGAAGCGCAGAGTACAATCAATAATTACACTTCAAACTGCTAAGAACGTTAAACGCAAAGTAATGCAAAGAGTACCTAGAAGGCGAAACTCACAAGGAGATCTCTTAATACTCCATACTCAACGCTGAATTAAACAACTGAGTAATACTGATGCTGTCCCCGCTCTTACGTAGTTTTCCCCCGGCCGTCGAGAAGGCTCTAGTGCCTTCCACTTATCGAAATTAATGGATGATTCCAAACGAATCTTGCTGAATCAACATATGATGCCAACATCGTATCATCAACATTGTGAGGCCAATCAACATATGAAGGCCAGATACGATTACAGTTACATATAGGGATCAATTATAGTTATTCAATTACAATACCCATTATAGTAATCAGGGCTTAATTTCTAAAATAAGAAGTGCCGGAGCCCTGCTGAAGACCGTCAGGAAAGAGGAAAAAGAATAAATTAGTAAATAAAATGACTAATAAAGTCATTAGTAATTAAAAACATAAATAATTAATCAATAAGAGAATAAAAATAATTAATTATTATATTAATTCAATAATTAAAATTTAATAAAAGTAAAGAGATAAATTAAAACTAGATAAGCGATTTTTAATACAGTTTTATTACTAAAAATGGAATTTTTGAGATCAGATTTTCACTGAAATTGTTGTTCAGTTACGTAAGCGAAGTGTCGAAGCCTTCTTATTTAGGGCACCAATGCGCTCCGACTAAAATTATGGTTTATCCCCAAAACTAAGAAGTACCGGAGACGGGTTCCGGCGCAGTTTAAGTTCTGAGGGTTATACAGGGATCTACCA